TTAGGGTTTCTCTCTAGCGATTATCACAATAAGAGGAATTAGGGTTAGGTTTAAATGTGAATTAGGGTTAGGCTAAAATATGAATTAGGGTTAGGTTTAGGGTTAGGCTAAAATATGAATTAGGGTTAGGTTTAATATAAGGATTAGAAAACCCTAATTAAAAAAAAAACCCTAATTTAAATACAAAAGCCCAAGCCCAAGCCCATCATCCAAATTACAAAGTTTAAGCGAGTTATGCAGAACTAACCCCTCAAGTTTGGTCAACTTTCAAAACTAACCCAAACTTTAATATATATATATATATATATATATATTTAACTGATATATATACACACACACATACATATCTGACGGGTATTATATGAAGGGCCATGGAATTAATGTCGTATGTAACCTTTCAGTAGGTTGAAGAGTCATACTTGAATATCGTTGACATGCATCGCAATTTTAGGCATATTTAATGGCGTATTGTCATAAGGTAGGTCAATAATTACCTTGTCGCGAGACACAGTTAGCTAGACTACATCCTCCAAAGTGATTTTTACATTCGTCATCGTGCATATCTGTAAAGAACCAAACACACTTCGTAGATTTAGTCCGGTTGATGATCGTCTATATAATATTTCTGCAACCACTATATACCTTGATGATCTAAATCTTATTTTTATGGTTTTAATTTTATCATCAGGTAAATGGTCATGGATAAGATAGTTTTTGATAATATTTTGACCAATCAATATCTTCATCGAGCACATGTACCAGTCTATTGCTAAATGTACCAAAGGAATTACGTCAAATTGGGATTTTCTATGGGTGGATCCTAAATTAGCCAAGCATCTGCTTGAGTGTTTTGATCCTTTGGTATTTGACACATGGAGAAATGATTGAAAATTGAGGATTTTTTTCTTTACCCACTTTTAGGTGAGCGGTCATTTTTAAATTCTTGGTTGCAAATTTGCCAGTCATTTGAGTGGCAACAAGAATAGGGTCACTCTTTACCTCCAATCATGTCGCCGAATTATCTTCCACATAGCTATTACCATGCAACCAAATTATCTGGTGTTGCACAATCAACCCCTCAAATCTTGATCGTTAATTGTTTAATAGAATGGCTAGGATCACTTCTCTACTTTTTATACTTTTAGATTCTATTTTAAAAAAATACATACAAATGATACACATTGTGATACCCAAGATATACACAAGAAATACAATAAACAGACCATGATGCACATATCACATTATGCAAAATATTGTATCACTATGGTGTTGGCACCAAGAAACAAACTATGATACATTGTGATGCCCTTCGTAAAACCCAAAAATACACTTCATCTAAACCTAAACAAAAAAATGATGAAAAACAAACTTTTGTTCGAGATTATCAACCACATCTGCGACAAATCCAAACAAAACACATCAAAAAACCAACTTTCAAACCAAACCCTAAAAAACAAAAACAGCTCATCGGGTGATCAAAAACTTGAACATAAATTAAAGAGAGACCCGGGTTTTTGCAACACCTGATGTATTTATTTCTTGAAGTAGGGAGCTTTGAAAAGATCAACTAGAAGGTGAAGAAGATGAAAATTCTTGAGATCATCGAATCGAGTATGCAAAATCCTAACTTCAGTTGATCTTCCTCCGGGTTAGAATCTTGAAATATTCATCAATCAGAATTTTCAGGATAAATATTCAAACTTGATTGAGTTTGGAGTCATGTAACAGCCATTGTATGTTCTTCCCAACAAGAACCTTCGAAACCAAATCTAAAATCTTTAGAGAGAAACCCCTTGAATCCATATATGATACATTTGAATCAAAATCTTTGAATCAAAAATTTCAAATCGAAACCCTCGAGCCCGAATATGAAACACTCGAACTAGATTTAAAATCGTTGAATCTTTTGCCTTTTAAAAGAAATCTCATCATCCTCTTTAAATTGTGCTCACAAGGGGTTGGTTTCACGAGTAGTCAATAGGATGAGGAGAGATGGAGGATTCTGCCTCCTTAAACCTGGCGACCGTTATGGTTTTTGTCGAAGAAAGAGGGTGAGGCGATGGTGGATTTGCGAAAGAGGCGTGGAAGAAGCTAGTCAAAATCAAAACGTTCCCTTGATTTTAAGGATTGAGTTGTGAAATAAATAATTAATTACTAATATAACATTTTATATTTAATTATGAAATAAAATCAATAAAGTTAAGTCGTTGGCTCACATTGAATCTCACGTTTATTACAAACTATTTTGTTCTCATTTGATTAGTCTCTCTCTATATATCCCGTCCTCTAATTTTGATTAAGTCAACATCCATCGCTAGTCCCTCACATTGGACTACTCTTTCACAACTTCACCATTATGGTCCCCCTTTCTTACATACTCTACGAATATGCCCAAAAATTGGTGTGTTACCGTAATGAGTTGATTTTTGGGGTGTGAGGGATACATTAGCCTCTTGTGATATTAATTGATATTATACGACATTTTAACCATAAGTAACATATTATTAGATCGATATGTTTTCATATGAGCTCGAGAAAAATTAGATTTATCAAGTTGATTGAAGTGTCAAGTGTTTCAAAAACATCAAAACATATGCCAAACAACATTCCCTCGCTCCAAGAGTGCCCTATTACATTACAACAAATGTAGACACAAAACTAAAAACACAAATATTATTAACAGGAACGAAACCAAGAATTTTTGGATACGGTGACACCATATAAAACGGTTGCACCTTTTACAATAAATTGGTTGCATCTTTCACGAACCTATTTTTTTTATCTTACCACGAATGAACAATACGGTGACACGTGTCACCTAACCACCCCTCTGGGTCCTTCTATGATATTATAGACGTTAATACAAAATCTCGGTTTGCTTAATGACATTTAGAATTTAAAAAAAACGTAAAACCATTTTCAT